TAGCCGACCTGTGACAATGAGACTGTCACAGGTCGGCTCAGTAGATTGGGAGGTGAGCGAACACATACCGGCGTTCGCTCACCTCTCGATCCTGACACGGCTCTCTGCCGTGACGGGGGGGGCTGGATCCCCCCCTCCCCGCTCCGATCCGCCAGCGTTGACTGGCGGAATGGACGGGGAGGGGGCGGGTACAGCTGGCTCTGCCTCTAGATAGGCAGAGCCAGCTGTCAGTCTGGCAGGTCTGGCTGGGCGGATCCCGGTACAATTGGCGTCTCAGTATACTGCGAGCTACAGCTCGCGGTATACTGAGCCTAGGGTGACGGGAGGACGCTAGTTTGTGTCCTCCCGTTACCCTAAGGAGAACTATGGGGAAAAACACTGACCCCATAGTTCTCCTTTAATATCCAGAACGCAGAGCAGCAATAATAAATTATATAGAAGAAGTTACACAAAAGAAATTGGCTTGATGCCACATAAGGACACATAAAATGAATTGCCCAATGTGTAACATTTTCACCAAAAGGTTTAAATGTTTTTAAACAGGTTCTTTCAGAATTTCAGGGAATGAAGCACAATTTACAGAAAGTAATCAGTTTACAAATGACAGAACCACCGACCCGAAAGTCAGCATATGCACTACACATTACATTACACAAATGACAGTCCTGTTTTATAAGTGATTGGTTATGCAGCTCTTAGGAAATATCAGATTTTTCCACTGATAACATTTCCCAATATTCCTTTCCTGCAGCCCAGCGACCCGGTCACCAACATTTGCCAAGCTGCAGACAAGCAGCTGTTCACCTTGGTAGAATGGGCAAAGAGGATCCCCCATTTTTCAGAGCTGCCTCTGGATGACCAAGTAATACTGCTGAGAGCAGGTGAGTGCACTTCATTCATCCTCTGCTCTCTGACAGCAGGGTTCTGAGAGACAGACATATCCTGCAGGCAGCCATATTCATTATTTGAGCTCCCTATCATTGCTTCCTGTCAGTGACAGAAGCTGATTGGTCACCATGGGCAACTGCTCTAGATTCTGCCTTCTCCAGTTTTGGTAAATTCCCCCCTGTATATAGGTGACACAGTGGGTAGTACACATTGAAGCGAATTTATCAAAACTGGATCAAATTCTGGAGCAGCTGTGCATGGCAACCAATCAGCTTCTATTTCTCAATTTCAAACCTCGACTGAAGAGAGAAGCCGATTGGTTGCCGTGCACATTTGCTCCAGAATTTGTCAAATTCCCTTCAATGTCTATAGGTGACTCAGGGGCTGCACACGGTGCATACAGAGGGTCCTTACACTATCTGTATGAGTGAAGAGCCCGCTGGCCGTCGAACATTTTCATCTCGGTATGCTCAGCTATGCTAGCTCTCCAAGCTGACATGCCAGATCACAAATTGCACGACACACTGCACGCGAAGGTCTGCGCGCTACCACTTCCCTTTGCTACTCGCCGCTTCTCGTACAGTGTGTCAAGGGCTGTAGGCTTTACTGCATGCACATGTGATGACAAGAAACAGGTCCACAAATGGAGAGAGATGACTTCATCAGTTTGCTGCTGTCCCTTCATTTTCCAGTCACAGGCTGGGAGGTGACCAAGATGTAGTACTTAACTGCAGTAAACAAAAGTGAGGTCACTGAACTGTCTACACTGTCTGGTAGGGCTGTGTAAATCCTAGAACTGCCAAAATTACAAATCTTTAAGCAGAAAGTGTATATTTGCCTGGAATTCATCCTCAAGTCAACAGATAACACCAAATTTCCATGCAAAACAATGTACCGCTTTTGGTACAAAATTCCTGACATAATCATACCGCCAGGGAGGTTAAAGAAGAACATTATTCTTAACCCTTGCAGTGGGGCTACTAGCCGGCTATGAGGTTTGGGTGAGTATGACTTTGTTATTTTACACCCTAGAAGAAAATGATCACGCAAAAACGGGAAACATTCCTAACCCTTGCTGTGGGGCTACCAGCCGACTCCAAGGTTTGGGTGAGTATAACTTTGTTATTTTACACCCTAGCGGAAAACAGGCACTTAACCCTTCCAGTGAGGGGGTAGCCCCCCAGCAAGGGTTAAGAATCGTTTTTTCTTTAACCTCCCCAAGATTCAGGTAGCCATTGTTTTAGTACAGCTCTATTTTTTTTGAAGCTTTAATGGGCTTTGTATTTTTACGTCAACTACGTGCCTGAATGTACAACAGCAATTTATAACCCACAAAATGCTGAACATGGCACAGAGAAGTGGCTCTAAAAGAGTCATTGGCACTGTTTTTGGGAGTTGGAAATTCTGTTTTGTAAATTGCAGACCTTCTGTCATCCTCTATAGTGTAAAGAGCGAAATCAGGATTTTTGTCCCAGAGGGATAAGAAATTGGTGAGAATTTTCAATTTGTCAGCATCTACCAGAAAGTGCGAATAATCCATGATGGGTGACTGGTCACTTTAAGACATGTGACCAGAACCATTGTTTTTGAAGAGTGGCAGTGAGCCCAGATCCGAGTTCTGCTCAGCTCTGGCCAGTGCTTGAAATAACTTCCCTAAAGTATTTTAACTAGCGACTTCATGTATTATTGAGCGGCAGGAACGGGCTCTGGGGATGGAGCACGCATGAAACATTAACAGACCAACATCTAGCTAAGCGCAGAGGCTGCCTCCACTCATGCATCATCTAACGAGAGATGAAACACAGCTTAAGGGCAGAGCAAATGCCGATAGGGTGGCTTGTCTCTTCCTTCCTTTTTATGGCATCTTAAAAGCATAAAATCAAACGCAGCCTTTATTTTGTGCCATCCAGGATGACTGTAACACTTTATGCCGGCTCGTATGTCGATGGTCTTTTAGCGGAGTTGCGAGTTATTTATAGCCGCCTTGGTGTGAGCTGAAGATGTGAGAAAATGGCTCTACGTTTAAATTGTTTATTCTGTTACAAAAGCGCGGGCAGCTGAGAGTCTCCCGAGAGCTGCCTGTCGATATAGAAGCACGCTGGTATTTGCTGGCTTAGTTTAATGTGAAAATAGCGTGATGCTTCAGCTGGTCATCAAGAGATAAAAAGTGACAGGTCCGCTCTGCGACTGAACCAGGATTCTGTGGGGGCCTAAAGGGGATATACAGTCTTCTACGTGTATTTTAGATAACTTGCTAAATCAGGCTGACATAAATAATCTCGGTAGCATACAGGTGAAACTCGAATAATTAGAATATCGTGCAAAGTTCATTTATTTCACTAATGCAACTTAAAAGGTGAAACTAATATATGAGATAGACTCATTACATGCAAAGCAAGATAATTCAAGCCGTGATTTGTCATCATTGTGATGATTATGGCTTACAGCTCATGAAAACCCCAAGAACCCCAAATCCACAACCTCAAAAAAGTAGATTATTACATGCAATCAATAAAACAAGGATTGTACATAGAACAATATCGGACCTCTGAAAAGTACAAGCATGGATATGTACTCAGTACTTGGTTTGGGCCCCTTTTGCAGCACTTACTGCAATTACTTTTGCACGATATTCTAATTATTCGAGTTTCACCTGTATAGTTGTTTTCTTAAAACATGTTTCCATATATAATTATATGTGTATGGAGACAGCCATCTTTGTTTATTACATATGTAGGTTTGGCTTCTTGCTTTGCAGTGCCACTAAGTGGTTGTGTTTTACTTCTCCTCCTTATAATACAAGTCAGTGAGTCAGCCGACCCGCTGAGAAAATGCTCTAAGTGTGATACAAATGTGATATCTTTTCTCAGCAGCTGAGATACATCGGGACTGCACTAAGAGCTCCCTCTAGTGGTCAGTCTAACAAATCTCCATATTCAATTCAACTAAAATAAATGTTGGAGCAAATCTGTAAAAAATTTGAAAGTCACATCAAATATTACTTTAAGGCAAGCAATGTAAGAAAAACATTTAACATGTTCACTTGCTTAGCAGGAATTGATCTAGGGACACCAATGCTGCATTTATTACAGTACATTCACATCAGTGGCCTCAAGGAGCTTACAATCTTAGGTCCTTATCTCACATGCATACAGACACATCCTAGAGCCAGTTTAGACAGGAGACAATTATCCTACCAGCATGTGTTTGGAGTGTGGACTGGGAGGAAACCCACACAAGCACAGGGAAAGCGTACAAACTCCATGCAGGTAGTGTCCTGTTGGTATTCAAACTGCGGGCCCTAGTGTTGCAATGCAGGAGTGGTAACCACTAGGGATGCACCAATACCGATACTAGTATCGGTGCCGATGCCTAGCCCAATACTTACGGTATCAGGAAGCCGGGCAGTGCGTCATTACATGATGCCCAGCTTCCTGATTGGCCGGGAAGCTGGCCCCATGATCTCTCGTCACCTAGTGACGAGAAGCATGGGAACGGCTTCCCTGCTCACCGGAAAGCCAGGTGGCGAGTCTTTACACGCTGCCCGGCAACCCAGCTAATTAGGAAGCCAGGTGGCGAGTCATTAAACGCCGCCTGGCTTCCTGAACGGGACATTCCGGTACTTGGTATTCGGTATCGAAATATCGGTACTCTTACTTGATAGCAAAATACCGGTATTGGTGCATCCCTAGTAACCACTATTCCACGGTGCTGCCAGTATTTATCAATGTTATCCACATAGGATGGGGTAGTGAATAAGCAGTATTTAAATAAGGCTGTTGCAGGTCATGTGATCCCCAGTCTGAAATCTGCTATTTATCTAAGGAGTCAAAATGACTTACATAACTTACACTAAATGTTTGTAGAGTATTTGTTATATTGTTTACTCTTTGTTATTTTATATGTGATTACAACTTTCTATTGAAGAAATACAGATACGTAGGACAGATATCCTAGGGCATGTCAGGACAACATAGGGCAATAGAATAAGGTACATCATAATGTTGGTCCTTGAATACAGTTAGGATTGTACCAAGAAAGCAATAGACAAGCAGGGAAATAGACAACATCAAAATAGACAAGAGTATGCTTTGCTGCTGAATAGAAAACAATGAACTTTCAGACCTAAATCGCCTTATTTATTGTCTTTGTGCAGGTTGGAATGAACTTCTTATCGCCTCCTTCTCACATCGGTCAATAGCTGTTAAAGATGGGATCCTTTTGGCCACCGGTCTTCACGTACACCGGAACAGTGCGCACAGTGCAGGTGTAGGAGCCATCTTTGATCGGTAGGATGTCACTGTTCCATCTCTCAGTGTCAGCTGTATTGAATGCTGGGGTTAAAGGGTGCAGAGCTTGCAGATGACAGAGCTTTTTAGAAACATTTGTGCAAGTTCTGTTTCTTGATATCATTGCGGAAACAATAGGTTCTACCAACATGGTTGATGATCATTTTCATTGTAAATAGCTTTGTGTAGACAGAAAAGATTTGGGCCTGAGATGGAAATTTCATCTGAATAATCTCTGTTATAACACAGCTTTGCACATCTCTCAGTCTTTGAGTTCACATCCTGTCAGCAGTGATACACTGTAAAACCATGATAAGAAAGAAAAAGAAGAGGCAGCAATAGGACAGATTGCATGAGGCCAGTTCATTCTGAGTTTGCTTCTTATAGAGCTCATTGAGGCAAATAAAAATGTTTTGCTGTTTAGAAAGCCCAAATAAATGATATTCTGTTTCCTTCATGGTGCCAGTTTACTTCCTATTCCCTGTTAACGGTAATATGAATTTACAAGTCATACTTGTGCACTCTGCCTGTCACAACGCCTTTCAAACAAACTTTTTATTCTTTGCTCAGTGTCCTGACAGAACTAGTGTCCAAAATGCGAGACATGCAGATGGATAAGACAGAGCTGGGGTGCCTCCGAGCAATTGTCCTCTTCAACCCAGGTGAGTGAGTGCGTGGCGGCTGTATGCTGCTCTGAGGTTATTGTTGATGTAAAACATTCGGCTTCCAGAGTTACACATTCACAGCTGATCAGAAATAACTGACGATTCTGGTGATTATATTTTTCTGGGCTAAATCCCCCTAAAACTCAGTTATGGGTAGATGCTGGTGGGTTTCATTTATATGCTTAAAATACTGGTCAGTTATTTTTTCAGTAGTTTGTAAGGCAAACATTATACATTGAGGAAAATAAGTTGTAATACACATTATTTTGGCTGGTTTAAAGAAGAACTTCACCTCTACTTCTATCAATGTTGACAAAATCACATTATCCTAATGCCTTAACCGGGGAAAACAACTGTTGTTGGGGATTCTCTGTTTCTGGGAAGTCTCATCTAAAGGGGCAATACTGTGGTCGTTGTTGCACAAAAGAGAAGTTTCTATTTTTTGCTCGTTATAGAAACACATGGCTTGTAAAGTGAAATATTAAATCAATTGCTGATGAACATGAAGCAATGTATGAACCTGCATGGTGACACTTTGTTGTGTTTCACAGACTCTAAAGGTCTCTCAAACCCGTCGGAGGTGGAGGCGCTGCGGGAGAAGGTCTATGCATCTTTGGAGGCTTACTGCAAACATAAATACCCTGAACAGCCAGGAAGGTGAGCCTCCCTCCATCCTCCCCTCACTGTACCCAGAACTCTTCTCCTCATAGTTACAATGGAAAGGGAGTGTCTTCTGTGTATGACATCTCCCTTTTTTTGGCCAAACCATGTTAATCCTTGTATAACGTCATACAGGATTGAACAGCCAGACCACTAGTAGCTCATTTTCAGATACCGATAACTAGCAGCAAAAGAGGTCAAAAGCCATCATCACTGCCACCTCGATCTGTACTCAGCACTCCTGGACTGGACCTGGAGGGTCATTTAGGGTATTTAAGAAAAATGCTTAAAGCCTATTTCCACATTTGCAGAGGTATTTTTTAAAAACAAATTCCAGCAATGTACACTCTGTACATGAAGCAGACATATGCATGTGGTTTATATGAACACAGTAACCTACATTTTGTCTTAGCTTACCTCTTCATATCCTCATGGAAATGGCCACCTCTGTGCTGTGCAAGCAATGTGTGTATATCTTTCTGTGAGCTCTCCAACTCCCCCCCCCCATTACCAACAGTGTATTGTGTGTAAGGGCAGAGCTGGTGTCAGACTGAATTTCCTGTGGAGAAAATGTAGAATTTTTAGGCTTCTGACCTAATAAAAACTTTATAAAAAACTAAGGAAAGCCTGCAATGTGAGTCATGAAAATGTGCACATGAATACATCATCACTGAACCTCTTCCTTACCACAATAAATGCTTATCACTTACAAAGGTGGAAATGGACATTCAAACTTTCCTAAATGCTTTGTAAATGCTTACTAAAGCTGATACTCCTAAGACTGAAGGCTGCCATTGCTGGCTGTCCTTCTGAGAATGCATGTAGCCTGGTGCCATGCTGATCCAATGGCTTCAATATGGTCTAACTATGGAATTCAGTAGTGTTGATCTTCTAACCTGAATGTTTTTTTTGGCATCAGTGAACCCAGAGACAGCCAGGCAGCTCATATTTTCAGAAGGAGGCCAGCAATGGCCCCATATATTTCTTTAAAACAATGATTTTAGGACCAAAAGAGGGACAGTTGTGCAAAAGAGAGGCACAGAGGATTCGGGTACAGAAAATAAACTCCTTGGAGATTTGATGACATCATCATTACTTTGTTTTTATTGGGAACAGCACGCTCAGTAAAGTCCTCGAGATTTGTCAGTCACCTTTAAGACGTTCCAGTCTCCTCTGTTTCACCCCGTGTCCTCCAGAGGAACTCCAGCTGAAAAATGAGGCCGAAGCAGCGAAGGAGTCAGGCTCCCCTCCCCCGTCTCTCATATGTTTTAGTTTAAAATTTTAAAGTTCGCACTTCCTGGCTGGCGTTCAGAAAGTCCTGTTTTTCCTGGCGCTCCGACTCCTGTTCTCAATAGCTCAGCAGAATTCGCCCCTTTTCTTGGCCTCCTTCCAACCTGAAAATGGATCGGGTTTATTTTTTTCCCCTCTTTCTAAACCACGCCGATTGCGTGATGACGGGAAGAACTAAGTCCGCTGTCCCTTGAGATGTGGTTAACGATTAATGAGAATTTTCATTGCCTTCTCCAGCACTGTGCATAGGACTTTGATTTAGTCAGGAAGGCTGACTGACTGACCATCTGTAGTCTGTCCAGCAGAAGTTTTCACATTCAGGTGGATGCTAAAGAGGACTTGTCTTCCATAGCGGACGGAGCTTTCATGTTAAGATTTGACCTCTGTACAAACTCGATAGTCTTTTTTCAACCTCATTGACTATATTACTACCATGGAATATATTTGATCTAAATAAATCCATTTACATGAAAAGCAGCACTATACATCTTAAGAATGTACTTTTTTTTCACTGAAAGTCTATGGATTGAATTAATTACAGGGCCTGGCATTGAGATAAGAGTAACAGCAAAGCACAATCGCCAATTAACATTACCAAAAAGAAACATGTAGTGTATACTGTATATGTTAAGCCTGGAGCGCTGAGAGCCAGCTTGGGTCCCTGCGGCTAAAAGTTTTCTGGGGCCCTCTCTCTTCTTGCCATTATTATAAAGTGTATTTTCACTTCTGCAAACACGTTTGAGAAAACCCCTCTATATGTTTGTTATGTGTTTCTATTTACACAGTATACCAAAAATGTTTTTGATGTGTCTGTGTAGCAGGCTATGACATGTGAATGAGAACATGTATCCGATATAAAATAGGTGTTATCCCAATTTGGCTGCAGAAGTGAAAATACACTTTACAGATTTTTTGCCTAATGCTTTTATCACACCACTGCTCACGTCTAGTAGAAACTTGCTGATTCAGCTGTTATGGAGTATATAAACTTTGATACTTTATCTCATTTTGTCTCCTGAGAATATTATGTCCAGTCAGGTAGCAGTCTCTGAATAAGCAATGCCAGTCAGTCCCTGTACATGATTCTTTGGAGGCAGAACCCCATGAAGTTACTGTGCTCCCCCTTTCATTAGGCCTCAGATTCATGTGCAGGAATATAGTGTTAAGGGGTTACATGGCTAAGGACAAGAGCTATTCCTTGAAATGTTTGGTTCCAGTCACTCCATAGTGGCTGGTTTTCAGTCCTCTATTACAACACTATGAGGGCCACTCAGATCTTCATAGGCAGGGCTGGTTTTTACAAAGGTTGCAGTATGAGTTTTTGTTACTAACTTTTTCTTTTTGACTTCTCCACTGCCAGGTTTGCAAAGCTGCTTTTGCGCCTACCGGCCCTCCGTTCGATCGGCCTGAAATGTCTGGAACACCTCTTTTTCTTCAAGCTAATAGGCGACACACCAATTGACACCTTCTTAATGGAGATGCTGGAAGCGCCTCATCAAATGACTTAAGAGAAAAGGGGTTTGGTTGTCCATGTGCCGAGGGTGATGGACGCATCATGTGACGCCCTCAGAGACACTTACAGAAAACGTCCAGGACCCCTAATGCAGTGTCACATGTGCGCCTTCAGTCCATCCACAGAGCTATAACCGTGCTCTCACAACACAACAGCAATCAGTGACGGACGTCTGGGATGCGGATAAGCTGGGCTCATCCTTTTTTTTTTTTGTCTCTTTCGAAGACATGGCTTGGTTGTCGCTGCTGAAGCTTAATTAAGTTGCTGTTGTTGTTTGGCTTTGGTGGCTCCAAAAAGACCACCAGCATCTGAAACATAAAAAAAAAAAAATCCGCACAGATCCCTTGGAGGGTGAATGTATTTTCTTCTTCTTTTTCGAAAATATAATGTTGTAAAGACAATGGAAAAGTTTTCTAATCTGTGTGTTCCCACACGAGAACTGGCTTGTCATGTTGTGGAGAAGTTTTTGCCGATCTTCTGAACAAACTATGAGAAGGTCCTTATGTCGATTGGCATCGGTTTCCACAGGCAGACTAATAAAACGGGTTGTATGAGCCCTTATTCAACGTTAGGCCTTAATTCTCAAAGAACAAACATCTCAAAAACAACTCAGTCGAGCTTGCTGTCCCCTCGCATGCTTATATGTTGAGGGACATAGCAATTAAAACAGACGTTTTCTCCCTGTGGAAAGAGCAAAGCTAATTCCACAGCTCGATTTCCAGAACCATCTGGGTGGTGAACCATTAGCTTGTTTTAAGGCTCTATGGATCAAGGCACTACAGTTATTTTGTTTTGATGTATTCAAGAAATTGTAGGAAACCACCAGTTGTGATTTACTGCCTCTTAAAAAAAAAAAAAAAATGATAGGCAAGCCACTTTGGGCTCCTCGGGTAGATTTCAGGGATCTTGTTCATTTTTGTTTTCTAATCCTGTATTGCAATCCTTCACATCTAGAGAAGGCTTCACTTAACTTCTCTAGTGGCATAAGGAGCCACAGAGGCAGAAAATCCTGGTGATTTTAAAATGGTTGTTCTTAAAAAACATAAAAATGTACAGTACAGAATAACAATCGTTTCTAAAATACAGCAACAGAGGTTTTTTTTAGAGATTCATATCAACCAAAATTACTTATTGCAGAGGTTCCGATTTCTTGTTGTTGGTAAAAGTAAATCATCAAAAAAACTAAGCTGATAACTTTTTTTCTTTTGTAACTGCTGAATAGAACATCAGAATGTGAGGTTTAGGTTTGAGAAGGGCTTAGGTTCAAAAGCTTGCAATTGACTATTTTGCCAACAAAATTGACATTTCAAGGCCTTCTTAGCATCTGTCACCATAATGCGTTGAAGAATATCCAATAGCTGTTGGGCGTAACCTTTGTGCTTTTCATAAGTCTAGATCAATTTGGAAAACATGCCCTTCTCTTAAGAGATTCCCCAGAAATAATTTAAGTTGTTTTGCTTTCCTATTCTATTATATCGGCAAAGGAAAGATCATAAATATTTGGGCTTTAGTTCAAATTGGCATAGCTGTCACTAACTAACGTTTTGGTACTCAGTATCTTCAGCTTTCAGTTCAGTTCATATGGTTCAGCCATCGCTGAAGAAGAGACTTGACAAGAGTGCCAAATTGCCGATTAGGTTTAGTCTCACAGGAAGGTAACAGTGTTTCAGTTAAGAGGAATCTATGTGGTGGCATGCAAAGGCCCAGGAGTTCCTGGACTTAAAAAAGTTGACAGAATCCCAGGGAACCTCCAAAAACTGATTCTAGATTTTTTTTTTATTTTACAGGGTAAGTCAGTGCGAACATTGTTTTATTTGAACTAACCGGCCTTCTCTTTTATTCCTTTCTTGTAAAGCAAAAATGGTATATGTATATTTTCCAAAGAAACTTGTCTTTCTCTTTCGTTGGCGCTCTCTCCGTTCTGCGTGGGAGCTAGTTACTCGGAACCTGAGCCAATGCTGAAGCACGCTTCTGTGAAGCATTGCCCCCTCCCTCCTTTTTCTTGCCTGCAACTGGTCAAGCGCTATTGATGCCGTTATGATACCTCTTTTGTGATTTCTAAGCTAGTGGTTGTTGAGCAGATTGTGGAAAACACTGTCCAGACCGGGCGTTCCTTACCTCAGAAAGAACATCAGAAAGCGTTAAATTTTCTGCTTTTGCATGTTTCCTTGATGAATCAGCGATTCAGTATAATTCGATGCATCTGGTTGTGTTCAGCAAGGAGTACATTAAAGCAATTTTCCTCGATGAGATACAGCTGATAGATGAAGGTGGACTAAGATTCAATTAAGCTTCATCTCATCTTTATTGGAGAATCAGAAAATTGCAGCCAGAATAACCAGGAGATCTGTGTGTACAGATTGTTAGGGTGACCCAGTTGCACACAGACCCTGTGTGTGGGAGCTCCTCAGGAGGGTTGCATTTTTGTTTAACATTCCGCTTGTGGCTGCCCTGAAAATTTCAATGCAAAACACGAGATATTCAAAAAACAGGCTGCTTTGTTCCCAGCCATTTTATGTTAAATGATGCCCATTAGAGGCTGCAAATTGCTCCTATGCAGGAAGATGGCTGAGTGTGTCTGTGGATGGAAAGTGTCTCTGCCCCCCTTTCCCCAGTCATTGTCAGTTCTGATAAACACCTGAAGCTTTTAGAAATGTTACTTGAGCAAACTGGCATTTGCAAGTCCATCTTTGCTGTTTTCCAAAATTATGTTTTTTTGCTTTTCCCCTATAGCATTACCCTTTATACTATGAACTGTAAACCTCGTTACCCTTCATCCCCTATAATAGTGCCTTACAAATGAGAAGGTCTGTCAGCATAAGTAACAGTTGCTTAGTGTTATTCAGTCACAGCAGAGGGGCAGTAACCGGGTTACCTTGTGGCATTACTACACCCACTTTTCTATTACACAAAAACAACTACACCAGCTTTAAAGGTAACATTTCACATCAGCTGCTTCCTGTCATAGCGGAGGCCACTGTTGAATCTGTTGCTGCACCCATGAAAGTCATGTTACTGCAGTTCTGGGCACAGTATGCTCGGCAGTGCCTGGAGATTAGAGAGTGGCGTTCTCCATTGTTAGGGAGCCTGGGCAGTGACAGTGAATGGAAGAATACTGTTACTGTGAGTTACATCACATTTTAAACTATAAGTGAATATTTACTCTCCGAGTGCCTTACTCGTGTATGTGTTAAACAGGAAGTTCCCCCCTCATCACCCCTATATAAAAAAAAGAAGCTTTTCTGCTGTTTTAAGTAATTCAATTGTAGAATCCATTCGTTGAACAGAGCGGTCATGGCACATGTGAATTTTAGAAGAATGCCTTAATCTCTACGGGGACAATGACCGCCGGTTTGCAGGGCTGACCTTGTTCTGTTTTGTAATGTGTACTTCACCCCAGTTGCTGTGCGTGTACATTCCCCCGCTAAAATAAATGTATCCTTTAACCCTTTCCCTGCTTAGCTTTGGTAGAAGAAAGGATAAACTCTGGGGTAGTGACGGCGGGTCAATAAACAGCAGTGCTTCAAATCTGAAAGATTTCTAAAAGGACTTCTTGAACCTTGGGTTGTCAGTGATCTCATTTTTCACTTTCATTAGGCAGATTTTTGTCCAATATAGTTGCGTCCACGAGGGCACCTACCTTATCTTGTACACATACCTAAAATGGTTCCATAAATCCCACTCAGAATGAACATGAAAGTGACTCATCTCTCTCACTAGGCCAACTGCATTTTCTTGTCACTTTTTCAATAATTTTATTGTCTCTCCGCTTCCTCCAGCAGTACATCTACAATCCATAATACACTCAAGTGAAGTCATTAAAGGGACCTGATTCATAGACTGTACCTGGGTCTCAGCCAAATAATCTTTTTGATGAATTTTTTCAATATTATTGTGTCACACATTTTATTTTATTACGTTCCATTTTTATTTTACTAATTGAATTGCAAATCTTCACAGTGTAGTCCTCCCAGTAAATGACATGGAAAATAAAACACATTTCGTTTTACAGGATGTAAAAATGAGACAGCCAATTCCCTAATGGCCATTTAGTTTTATGAATTTGTAATTGTCGCTGGAGCTGTCATTCGTTGATAAATAATCAGAATCAGGACATTGCCTATCTCAGGTCGGTGAAATCGATAGAGGCGTCTGAGTATAAGGGTAATAGACAATACGTAGCACTTCTGAACATTTACATTGTCAAGCTATAGTAGAGGTACCTTTGGATGAGTATAATAAGTTGTAAATAGATTGAAAGTCTTTCCATCAGCCACAGAAAGATCTGTGCACAGGGAAGGAACGCCCGGTCTCTTAGTTTGCGCACCTGTTTTGAGGTGCCGCAGAATATTTTCAGCGTGAGGGGGGATAGGTGAAACTCACCAGCACCAAGAGGTATCCTTGTGTCGTTCTTGTGACATTATGTACAAAAATGAAAAAAACTAAAAAAAAATAAAAAAATGTTTGTGTATTGCAAAATAATAAAAAAAGTTTAGAAAAACAAATTATAGAAAGGGTTGAAAAATTCTATTGTATCAGCGAAGTAAAATCTATTTTTGTATTGATGGAAGTTTAACCCTGCTTACAGTTTTGTACTAACATTCACAGATTCCAGCCTGACGTGTTACGAAGCAGTAGTCGTTCTGGAGGTGTCATACGTCACTGTTGAGCGGGGGGCGCTGTTTTCCAATGGCATGTTAGCAGGAAATAAAGCCTTGTGATTTTTTTTTAAAACTGAACTCCAAAGGAATCTTCAAAGCTACCCGTACAGTGGAGCTCCCCCTCTACTGCAAGAGTGACATACTCATTCTTGTCTAGGGTACCATTAAATAGCAGTTTCACTTACCTTATGCCTTACTCCCGTGCTCTCCTCTTCTTTCTGGCACTCCAGGTTGTGGGGGCGGGCCCTTGGCGTCCTCATGATGCAGTAGTACTCTGAGTGCCTGCAACTGGAGCACGGAAGAAAAGCAGAGGGAGGGAGGGAAATAATAATTTAACCCTTGCCATAGTTTTGAATTTTCCCCGAAGTTCAGCTTTAAACATACTTCTCTACAGCTGCGGTGGAACTTTATCTGCGAGTATGTTCTGTAAGCCATGCTGAAACTTGTAGTTCTACTATTCATAATTACATGTCAATGTAGTACCTGTGATTGATCATAACATGTGGCAGAGATTGGCTGCTTTGTTTTAGAATGTGGCTTTATAAATGCACCATTACTATTCATAAGAGAACTTGTTAGAATGAGAGTTGCCGTTGCTGACTTATTTTTGGAGGTGTTACTTCCAGGGCTTTCATCTTAATCGTGACTTCATTACTTTGTGAGTCACAGATCTGGGTCAAGCATATTCATATCGGTTATACCAACACTGGCTGCATGCCTCTTCTAAGTCATTCTGAAGGAAGGATGAGGATGGCAGCCCTGGACTCCTCGCCTATAAGGAAAAGTCTGCAATGGCATTGTTCATATTTCATCCCAAAGGGGTACTTTTCAATATTGTGATGAAGCAAAACACCTCTGATGGAAGCTGTCATTCCCCGATTCACAGACTGTTCACTACTTCTATGGCACTGACCTCACTTAGAGTTAAGCTGAAAAGATTTGGCCTCACCTCTCCAGAAGATACATGAGGTCTGTGAGTTGGGGGACATCTGCCTTGTGTACTTTTAAAATGTACAACTTTTATTCTGTAAAGTGTTCTGAATTTGGCTTCTTTGTTTCCAAACTTTAATTGAGACAACTGCCACATCTCACTGTACAAGAATGTGAATCACAATGCCTCCTTTTATTTCCGTGCCCATACCATCCAATCCCTATTGGACCCCAAAATCTTTTACAATGTGAAGAACACTTGGCTTCAACTCTTGACTATATTGCGCCTTCCACGCACAATCTGTTGGAATACTGAGGACAGCAGACATCTCCAATCACTCACAGCTCTCCGCTTGTTAAACTTTGTCGCCTTTAAGAAACAGACTCCGCCCCCCGCGCTCTCGGTATGCTGTGTTCATGTACCTGCCTCTCTTTCTCTTTCTACGGCTCAGTTTTACTGTGAATCACTTCTGCACATGTTAACGTCAAAATGAAAACAAACAAAAAAAGCATTGGAAATCTGAGTATTTTCTTGATGAATAAATGGTATTAGAAATTGTAAACAGAATGAGCGTTTATAAATACGAGTTCAAAGTAAATCAGCCTTCGTGTCTTTCTGTACTGTGAGTTACTGACACCTACTACACACAACAAGTTGCAGACTAACTGAAAGGAATGAATGACAGCCTTGTGGTCAGGATATCAGCAGTAGAGGTAACCCAGAACAGTATTTTCTCCAGGACTCAAAACCAATCAAGCTCTCTTGTGTTGCACAGTGTTGTCATACTTATGCGTTTCAGACAGTTTATTGGAGTAGGAAAGCGCATGGAGAAAGTCAACAGACCAATAGGATCAGGTGAGTATATCTGCTTTATTTGAGCCCCTAAACCAAAATGAGCACTTTAACTCCTGCAGTGTGGACGTAGCCCCACTGCAAGGGTTAGTTTTATAATTCCTGGAGGTCCTTTTTAACACTTGACAGGTTTAAGGCCTTTTTCTGTAACACCCCTGCACACCTTTAAAATCATTTGAATATGGGTGTAACATGAACCATGGTCTGAAAGGTAATCTCAGCCTTTAAAATAGAACTATGGCCTCCCATTAAAAACACCTACTGATTTATTTCCTCTAATCCCCCAAAACTGGTTTGTATAGCATTTGTTGAAAGCATTTTCACTGGGCACCATTAAGTGGAGGTATATTTGACCTATAATCAAGTTTCAATCAGCCTTTAGCTGGCAGGCTTGTGGTCAGGATAGCAGCAGTGAAGGGAACCTAGAGCAGTATTTTCTCCAGGACTCTGAGCCTTATTTCATGTCCTCCTGGGAGAGATACCTTGAAGATAATTTATTCAGAACACAAATGGTACCAATCGGTTTATCTCCATGTCTGCTGAATACATATTGCCACCATGCAGGGGGTTATAAATTGGGTTACATTGATCAAGCTCTTCAAAATATAAATTCAACTAGATCCAATTGTATCCTGAAGGGAAAAGAGAATTACACTTTTACTGTCCTGACCATTAAGTCCAGTTGGCTTCTTTCCCTCCAGGGGTGCATATCCACACAGGCGGTTGTGCTTGCTCTTGGTATATGCAATAAAAGGCAAAAGAATGTGGTCGCACTCCAGATTATCAGAAGCATAGGTAAACTTATTGTTCAGTTGCACAACACACATCCTGCTGAGGCTTCGCCCTTAGTAACGTGTTTTACTAAAATCTACCAGGGTTACTCACAAAAGGGGGAAGAGTTTGGAGAAGACAGGAGAAGTGAACAATCTAGGACAGGGGTGCCCATAAGGTCGATCGCGATCTACCAGTCGATCGCATAGCGATCAGTGGTAGATCGCAATGGCCTCTTCTCCCGCCCGTGGTACTTCTCTGGATCCCCGCTGTTTTTCTTTCTTACCTCGGGCGCAAAAGGAGCTGGCTACGGGTATGCTCATGCGGTGCTCGTGTGGCTGCCGGTTGAATGTGGCAGACGCTGCAGATGGAAAGGGGCAGGACACTTCTCCCCATGTGCAACAACGGCCACACGAGCACTGCAGGAGGACAGGACGACGGGGCCTCTAAGACGCACTGGAATGAAATTATTTCATTGTAGCATTTTTCCGGATTGCACTGGACTGGAACGCAGGCACTAATGTGCGAGGGGCCTGGCTGTGGTGCCATTGACATCAATGCACCGCCAAGCCCCCTCCCACCCCTGAATGCAGGTGTTTTTTCGTTGGTAGATCTCATTGAGCTCGTCATTTGACAGTAGATCTCCAGATGAAAAATTGTAGGCACCCCTGATCTAGGACAACATAGCTGATTTGGAAAAATTCTCCAATTCAGCTCTTTCCAGTTCAGAAATGTTGTCCTAGATTGTTCACTTCCCCAAACTCTTCACCCCTTTGTGAATAACCCTGTATGTTTAAGCTCATTTTGGGTGAAATGTGTTAGTTAGCCACGGTGCACATAGTACTCCTGAACAATAAGTGTATCTACACTTTTTGATCCAACTCCACGCTATAATTAAATCTGTGGATAGAACAATGTTATTCCCCAGGTTTGTATCACTCTCTTTTGGTATAATCCAACCAATTTTCTTTTATTAAGCCACTTCCCTTCATTGCAATGTTTAGTCCACATATTAGTTGCAACTTTGTTTTCCTGATGTCAGCCTAATTTCTTCAGCATGGGTGTACTTCTCAGTCTCTTTATTTATTCATACCTTGTGGTTTTGTTGTGCCACTTTTGTATATCTTACCCCCTATTGAAGAACATTCGACACAGATTTCACTGCGGTATATCTTGCTCTTAATGGAAATATGGAAACAGCTAGTGGAGGCATTGTCCTGGGCAGCATCATGCATAGGAAAAACAGAGGAAATATACATTTCCTGTGACAAAAATAGCACAATAATGCTATCCTTTATAAAACACATTGCAGTAACCCAGAGCAACTGCATGTCAGAATACTTTGGTAAGAACAAATAAATCTGATTGGTTGTTGTGGTTTTCAGCAATTTTGAGAGATAAGACCATCAAACACCATATTGACAGTACTTTGATGCCACCTGCCGGACAACTATGTGCACTACAGCACTAAGAATTTTTTTTTGGGGGGGGGGTTCAACCCAGGAAGCATGCATTGGTGCACATTCTCTCCAGGCTTTTGTAGGTTTACGCCCACAATCCAAAACAAACATACCAGAAGGTATGATATTTTTCTCAAAAAACTGTGACAAGTGGATTTTTGCCTGTAAAACTGTAGTGGGACATTAGAGTGTAAGCTCATCTGCTGCAGAGACTGATGTATACGGTTCTCGCTCTACAACACTGCAGAAAATATAAGAGGGGCAGGGTAATAGTGTGTGACTGTGGTAGAGAACCTAGAGTGTAAGCTCCTCTGGTGCAGAGACTGATGTGACTGTCTCAGTATTCTCTGTACAGCACTGCAGAATATGTCAGAGCTATATAAAGGTATAAACGTGTGTGACTGTGGTAGGGACATTAGAGTGTAAGCTCCTCTGTTGAAGAGACTAAATTAAAACCGAAAACAAACATGAAGATTGAGATTTTTGTCTTTTTAGGTGTTACAAGCAGTTCTGGGACATGGCACTTAAAGGTTGAGATGAGAAATGTGGAACTGAATGCAAAAAGTGAAGATTTGCCATGTTATAGGGAACATCTAGAAGTGTTGATTGTACCTAAGAATTACATTAAACCATTTACAATAAGGGGAATATAAAAACTGGAGCAGAAAGAATGTGAAGCAGTTCCCCGTCGCAGCCAATCAGCTCCTCTTTTCAGTATGTTCAGTTAATCTTTGAAGAGAGAAGCTGATTGGTTGCCATGCACAGCTGCTCCAGATTCTGTCTTCTCCTGTGTTCATAATTTCCCCTCATTTTGTCTTAATTCCTCCTGAAAATAGCAGCACTTCCTGCCTCTGCGAGTCTCTGAAGATTTGGATTGAGATTCAGGGATGTCATCATTGTGCTGTTCACTGTTCTCCTTGCTGGAAGCTCTGACATAAAGTAACAAAGCCAAAACCAAAATGGCCTACTCCACACAGAGGCAAGATGTGGTAACAGTGGCGTAACCAGAGTTATGGGCGCCCGGGGCAGAACATTTTTTTTCGCCCCCCCCCATATTATATAAACATCCACTAGAACTGTACCCCCCACCCCC